GGACTCGAATTCAGAACCCTTGGTTGTCCAACACGTAGCCAGTCGCTATATCGACTGTGCTATCCCGGCTCCCTTATAGTTGTTATTAATTTTAATCCTCAGTTTAATGACTGCAGTTGGGATAGAACCCGGGACACCGTGAGTACTGCATTAGTACAGTACTTACTTACTCATGGAGTCGAGCCCTTCTGAAGGAGCCGCCAATTTGCAGATACTCAAGAATTTCCCAGCATCTTATGGAACCCGAAAGTTCATTACCATGTTCACAAGTGCCCTCCACTGGTCCCTATCTTAAGCCAGATCAATCCAGTCAATACCATCCCATTCTATCTCTCTAAGATCCATTTTAATATTGTCCACCCACCTACGCCTTGGTCTTCCCAGTGGTCCCATTCCTTCCGGCTTTCCCACCAATATCCTATACGCATTCCTCGTCTCCCCCATTCGTGCTGCATTAATACAGTAACTACTAGAAAATAGGAAAATAAAGAGACTGAGGCTCGTGCAAACGTCGCGTACCGGTCGGCCTATATCAAAATGCAATTCAGACAACGAGCAGTGTCCACATATTGCAGGCAGTGTCACACGCATTTAGAGGACCACTGAACTTACCGATCTGCAGTAATGTACCTGTCCATGTCAGTAAAAGTAACAGGACTGCCACTCTTCCGCGCATGGCCGCTGCCTGAGCTGTTGTCGTTGACTCTCAGGACGCAAATGAATAAATTCTCCAACACACGCAACATCCTTGGTGTGTCACTGTTTGTCTTCTCTCACTGAGAAGGTCACCAGTTTCTACATCACATTGTTGTGTCATGGTTGATCAGCGAAATGCCAGGAGCCTTGGGGAAATCCCTCGCATAGCCACTTCAGCACTTCGCGACTGGCCGTAGTTTCAGTGAGAACGCTCCATGCGTATGTCCCCGTTTTTGGTTATACGGCCATGAATGTTAATGTTGACAATAAGTGTAGACGTAATGTGACTTTTAAATTAAATGACTTCAACGAAGCTATACCGAGATTACAGAACTCTAACCAACAAGAGGGAGCTTTGGCCTTCTGGGATTTCAAAGTTCTCTCTACTCTTTCAAATGCAAGAACCTGTCCAAATAATGTAGGTTAGTGGTACCTGATAGGTCCAAGGCTCATTCTCTGATGAATGCAGCTTTTAATGAGATGATTGCAACGTTACTAATTCACAGTTCATACAGCGCACCTGTTTTCGTCTTCCAAATCCTCCACATGTCATGTTCGCGTACTTTCCATTGTGGTCGAATAATCAGAAGAAGATGAAATAGACGAGGAAACAGATGGTAGGAACAGTTTTACCAATGGCGAAGATTTCTGTGACAATAATAATCAGTGAAATATATTAGTACCTACATTCATTTATACATATTACATATTATGTAAAGGTAAAACATAAACATTTAGTGAAGTGTTTCTTTGTTATTTGTACGTCAGTAACTGGTCACTACATTCAGGAAGTATTAAATAAATCTGATAAGACTGTGGTTTAATGACACCTCCTTTCTCAGTCTAACCATACAAAATTTGGATGTGCTTTAAATCTGGGGCTGTTTCAAATTATGATATGACTGTGTAAGGTAGGATAATATTAAAATTGATATCAGAGAAACAGAGTGTTTATATATTAATAGGATTCAGAAAGACTCCCTTTTTCGGAACAATGTGGGTCTTTGGTGTTATAAAAGCAGATAATTTCTTGGCCGGTTGAGTAAGAATCAAAGTTTAAAAAATGCAATGAAGATATTTCAACATAGAACTAGCAACTTCTTGATCGTAAAACGTAGGATATTCTCTTTTGTTTTACTTCGTTTTATTTTTTAATAAGATGAAATCTCGAATTTTAAAGAAAAGAAAAGAAAAGAAAGCCAAGAAGATTCACGCACTCTAATTACTTGCACGTGGCGAGGGACAAGATTTCGAAACAGGACCTTGCTACATTCACCAAGGAGGACAACTATTAGGAAAAGTGACTAAAAGTTCAAGAGATAAAAAGTAGATACTTCCGACTGTGATGTCTTACCTGTCACCTAATTAGTCATGCAACAGTAAATCTGTTTCCGCAATTAATGTGCATCAAGGTCAGTCAGTAACACACAATAGAAAAGAACGCATTTGGATAATTCCACCAGATTATGAACTATTCTTTCTTTATTGAGAACTGCTTCTATATTCAGAACTTTGGTGCCAAATCTGCCATACTTTGTGAACAGCTTTTGCAAAACTTATGGGCGGTAAAATTATATTTAGTTATACTAAAAACACGAAGACCCGTACGTATACCTTTCACGCTATGAACTGAGTAGAAGCATCCTTCCTTTAGGACACGTCTCTTCCGCTCCTTTCGTTCATAATAAGACGCGTTGCAGCAGGGTTCTTGTGGTTTTCTGCACACAGCTCTGTTATCATTGGGGGAATTACGACGGCCATTTTAGACACCTATACCAAACTGCAGAGTCTATGTACATATATTTATATACTTGCAAAAGGACGGCTATGTGTGCATGTTATGTCGTTCTCAAATAGTGTCTTCATGTAATGTTATATTTTAGCGTCCTGTTGCACTGATTTATGTCGATGACNTGCTCCTGTGGCTGCGTGTGTTATACTGCAGTATAACACTGATTTACATTAAATTTAAGCAAATTTAACCTAATTTTAAATGATTTAAACTGAAATGATGTAAATTTAACCATAAATTGTTTGACGAATTCATCATAATTTATGGAATTTTAAACAATTTTTGAGTGAATTGAAGTGAATTAAGGATTGAACTATTTTTTAACGATTTCAAACTTATTTATGGAAATTAAACCAAATGATTCTCTGAAGAATTCAAGTTAATTAGTGAAATTTAAATATTTTCACGATTTCATGTTATTTAAGAAATTTTGACAAAATTTTTGTCGATTTCACATTTATTTACATTATTTTATCAAATTTGTGAAGGATTTCAGGTTATTTAAAAATACTATGTAGATAAATTTTTTCCGAGAAATATATCTGAAGAGATGTGGACAAAAGCTGTCCTGGATTACTGGCACAGACAAACTGAGGAAATGTACAAAAATCTCAGTTCAGATAATCAATCGCAGGCCGGGATTAAAATCAGGAATCTCCGTAGGTTAACACTATCTGCATCCTTTATTGCTTTGCTGGTCTCCTAGGTGAGAGGATGGCATGACTACGATAGAATAAGGGGCAGCGGAAGACAGCGGTCTTCAGCTATTTTAATATATGAACATTATAACAAACATCTGTAAGGAACCAAGTGTAAAGTCAAGAAACTGAACTAGATGCAACCCAAATACACTACAGTTGAGCTTACGCGCTAGGAACTGAAATAGACGGTGGAACATGAGGGCGAGAGATTCTGTATCAATGAGAGACGGTCAAAGAGTTTGTTGTTTTGAAATAATTGCTTTCTGGATGTGCACCATGCAATTTGATAATTGGCACCAACGTTTCAGAGAAACCTGCTGCCTCCGTCTTGAAGAAGCGGGCTCGCCCTAAATGACGAGACGTATGTATCAAACGACATTCGGCATATCTCAGAATATTGACGTCTGTGAAAGCCTCAAATCTCATATGTTGCGTATATGACATTTTATCATATGAAGAAAATGTCACTCCAGTAGAGACGGTATTCATGCCTAAGACAAATTTTTTTACTTGTCTTCCTTATTTGTAGACATGTTCATTATTGAGAACACGGATTTCTTCTTGACAGATAATGCGCACAGTACAGAGGTATTAGACGTTATAGAGCCACAATTTATCTGTTAGCGAAGCTAGGGAATATTCATACTTCCTGTCATGGTTTACAGCTCGAGTGTGTCTGAAATACCTCTGACGTTGCATCGTCAATAGACAGTGATATGGATCGTGAAGCCTTCAGTAGAAACTTACTAGGTTCTATTTTCAACACACCAATGACCTTGTTGGTCACAAGAGACATTTCCTCCGTAAGGTTGCCAAATCAAAGTACGTATGACCTGAAAGATGTTTTAGACAGGAAATATACCCATGGATTGCAGTTATTCTCTGTAAGTTAAGATTCATTCAGGTAGGTAGTAAATTTCCTATGGTGTTCATAGGATAAAGCCACTACATCCTATATCAGAACAGGTTAATTAGGATGTGCAGACCGGCAGCAATCCGCGGACCACTGGTTAATAAAGTCTTCCCTGAAGAAAATTCTTTCACATACTGCGCTGATGACTGCGTTTTATAGGAGCTTCTTAAGTTGTTTGTGCGTAGAATTCGTAGTTTGTCATTAGCTGTGACCATTATGCCAAAGCTGTGAGCTGGATGGTTGTAACTGTCACGTGACACGACTACGGAAGTTATATTGGAACGTCTAAGGGATACAAAATTGGGTACATGAAGGACGCAACCCGACAGGCATACAAATTAATTGTTTAATATATTCTCTTAGTAAGCACTTCTGAAAAATCGGTCCGTTATTTGGAATATTTTTTATTTTGAAAAAGAAAATAAATGCATATACAGATGTGGTCCTAGGCAATGCCCATCCGGCCCTCTGTAACACAGTTTTGTAACAACTTATTCTATCATAGCCGTCGCTCCACGATTCTTGAATATATCTCTTAACTTAACCCTGAGACTATATTACTCATATTTTGTACAATGATTTGATAACACCGTCCGGTGTGACTCAGTACATATTTATATACTGCCTTTACATGTTTCGGTCAGTTGTGACCATCTTCAGAAGGCAATAACATGTTAAGGAACTACTGTTACATAGATCATAAGCTTACAGTTTTGTATAAAGATTTTTATTTAAGTTGAAAATCTTTTTAATTAAGTTAAAATATTTATACATAAATCTAAGCTTATATACTATGATCTATGCAATTAAGATAGAAGTCTTTATACGAAGTTCAAAGCGTATGTACTGTGATCTACGTAATAAAGTTAAAAAATTATAAAAGGTTAATTAATTCCGTCCAGTGTGACTGATGTTTTTTTTTTCTTTTCAATCTTTTATCCTTTACATGTTTCGGGCCTTTAGATCATCTTAAGAAGGATATCATTATAATTAGAAATCACTATTACAATATGTTTTAAGACTATTAATATGTACATACAATATCATCATAATACAATGTAGAAATCTAATGTTTTTTAAACAACTACAGCCGCTTGTACCAACATGTTAAAATATTTGTTACAGATAGTATGTTTAAAAATGTTAAAATTTTAAAATCAAATTGGTCCATGTCTCTTCTATTTCCTCTCCCCAAAAAAGCCAAGCGTCTACCGCCTTGTGGTTCCGTCGTTTGGAGAATAGATTTCGTTAGTGTCGTCTTGTTGATGTTCGATGCGCGCTGTGTTAACTAAGTTATAAACCTTTGTACAATGCTCTAAGCTTTTGTACTATGATCCATGTAATAGCAGTTGCTTAACATGTTCCTATTGCCTACTGAAGATGGTCACAACTGACCGAAACACATAAAGGCATTATATAAATAAACATATACTGAGTCACAATGTTCGGTGTTGTCAGATCATTCTATAATATTTAGCTAGTGTGACGGATCAGAGTGAATAAAGTTAATATTTTGTACATTTACATATTTTTATTTTTTAAATAAATTTAAGAATTTTATCTATAACTTCAGTAGCGACATCTATCAGCCTAGGACTTGTACTACAAGAGTTTCATTACTGGTATTCACAACAGGTGTCGCCAAGCCACTGAGTTGTGGACCAGTCTTAACGTAGTCGTCAGGTCATCAGGACAAGTAAGAAAGCAATTGAGCGGTAACAGTACCTGTTGGAGCTTG